AACAGCCCCGTCCCCAGCCCAAACTCAGCCTCACTCATGCCGCACTCACTGAGGAAATCAGGAGAGCCGTTCTGCGTGACGTCAATACAGACAAAGGTCTCTCATTCTCCCTCGAGGGCGCACCCTTGTGTGGCGTGCCAGAACTGAGAGAGACTGGTGTCTGCCATCAGGGTCATTAAAGGACAGTGCGCTTGCCTTCACTTTCTCTGCACTTTTTCCAGAGATGTCTGTGTGCTTATCATAACTTTGGCAGGATAAAACCAAATTATAACTTTACAGCTGCATGTGTTTGGCTTCTAGGGAATTATATAGTGTACAAATGTGTGTGATGACCTGTAGTTTTATCTATTTTTGGAATAAGTGGTCAGTTTTGCAACAATTCAACTCTTCATAAACTTTTTTTTTAATTTATTTATTTATTAAAGATTTCTGCCTCCTCCCCGCCACCACCTCCCATTTCACTCCCCCCCCCATCAAGTCCCCCTCCCTCATCAGCCCGAAGAGTAATCAGGGTTCCCTGACCTGTGGGAAGTCCAAGGACCACCCACCTCCATCCAGGTCTAGTAAGGTGAGCATCCAAACTGCATAGGCTCCCCCGAAGTCAGTACGTGCAGTAGGATCAAAAACCCATTGCCATTGTTCTTGAGTTCTCAGTAGTCTTCATTGTCCACTATATGAAAGGAGACAGAGACAGAGACTTACATTGGAGCACCGGACTGAAATCTCAAGGTCCAAATCAGGAGCAGAAGGAGAGAGAGCACGAGCAAGGAACTCAGGACTGCGAGGGGTGCACCCACACACTGAGACAATGGGGATGTTCTATCGGGAACCCACCAAGGCCAGCTGGCCTGGGTCTGAAAAAGCATGGGATAAAACCGGACTTGCTGAACATAGTAAACTTTTAAAAAGTGAAATTGAATTCATTTGGGATGCCAATTTAGATGTGTTTGCCTCAATTTTTTATCAGAGTTCCTTGGGATGCTGTGGAGAGTTAGCAGAGACTTAATGTTAGCAGTTTGGAGAGGATTGCGCCTGGGTAGGGGAAGATCCTAACTGCTCTGAGTTTCTTTGTTTTCATTCTTTGGCTTATATACCAATATACTAACCTCTGCAATTGGCAAATACATTTATTTCTTTTTTTTAATATTTATCTATTTATTATGTACACTGTGTTCTGCCTGCAGGCCATAAAGGGACACCAGATCTCACTACAGATGGTTGTGAGCTTCCATGTGGTTGCTGGGAATTGAACTCAGGACCTCCAGAAGAGCAGGCAATGCTCTTAACCACTGAGCCATCTCTCCAGCTCCCCAAATACATTTATTTCAAACACGTCATACAACCTGGGAGTTAGACACTGCCCATGACTGGCATAAACCTACAGAAATGCCTATTGTATTTCATAATTGCGCTGGTTAATTTTTGTTCATGTGACAAAACTAGAGTCACCTGGGAAGAGGGACTCTAGATTAGAAAACTGCCCATCAGTATTGGTCTGTGAGCAATTTCCTTGATTAATGATTGACGGGAGAGGGTCTAGCCTACTGTGGGCAGTGCCACCTCTGGGTAGGGTGTGCATAAGAAAGAAGCCAGCAAGCCTTGGGGAGGAAGCCAACAAGCAGCATTCTTCCATGATCTCTGCTTCAGTTTTTGCCTTGAGTTTCTGCCTGCTAATGGACTCTGGCTTCTGGACTAAAATAAAACCTTCCCTCCTCAACTTGCTTTTTGTCATTGTTTTATCTCAGCAGCAGAAAAACCTAACAAGGACAATCGTGTAAGGATAGATTAGTTAACTGCCTGTCTTTAATATTTATAAACTGTTCTTAAATGGTAAGAATCCTAGTTATCCATGACATATGCATGTTTCTCTTACTCTGTAAAAGTACCCTGACCAAAGCAGCTTAAGGGAGAAAGGAATTCTTTTGACTCACTGTTCAAGGACCCACGACTGGGAAATCCTGGCAGCGGGAGCTCAGGATAGCTGGTCAAACCCCAACTGTAGTGTGAAAGCAGAGAACAATGCACCTCATGCTCAGGTAGCCCTCTGAGCAGTCCGTTACCCAAGGCTAGGGAATGGTGCTCCCCAGCTTAGGGGAGGTCTTCCATCTCAGCCTAATCAAGGTAATCCCTCAAGGGAATGCTCAGAGGCTTGTCTGTTAAGTGAGTCTAGAGCCTGTCTAGTTGCGAATCATTATTAACCATCTGCTAGGCAAGCATTTTACCACTGAGTCACTTACATCCCCAGCCCTTGGGTTCTGAGGCATTTCCCTGACAGGTACCCCAAGCTACCATCGAATTTCAAAGCCTCCTGCCTTCTCTTGTCAAGTGCTGTGATTACTACCGTGAGCCAGCTCTGATATACAGTTATTTCTTTACTTTGGCACATGTCAATTCTTTCTCCTGGTATTTCAAAGAGAATACATTTTAAAAAACTGTTACACATGTCCTTTTTTGGGGAGTTGGCTTTCACAAATCATTATAAATGAAAATCATTTCAATGCAGGCAATATTTGAAGGACAGAATGCACTCTGCTAGAGACGAAGAGGGGAATTTGATATTGTCTTGCTCTGGACACAGTCTAAATAGAAAACATGCATTTTTTATTAAAGAAGGACTCATATAGAGCTCTTGGCATATGAGCTATTCTAAGTAGCCTGCCAGTATTATGTCAGGGAATTGTTAATATGTGATGAGGGCTTGGAAAGAGAGAAGTGGGAGCTGGAAGGAGGGCTCAGTTGACAGAGTGCCTACCACAGCATGAGGACCCAAATAGTGATCTCCAGTACCCACATAAAAGCCAGGCACTTCAGCTCATTGGCCACACAGCCCAGCCTAATCCATACATTCCAGCTTCAGTGAGAGACTGTTTTAAAATTAAGATAGAGGGTTTGAGAGATGATTGCAGTTAGTAACACTTGTTGCTCTTGAAGAGGACCAAGTTCAGTTTTCAGCACCCACATGACAGTTCACAAACATCTCTAATTCTAGTTCCAGGGGATCCAATACCACCTTCTGGTCCCTATGGTCACCAGGTATGCATACACATACATACGTGCATGCAAACACTCAAAATATATTTTTGTTAGGGGGCTGGAGAGATGGCTCAGGGGTTAAGAGCACTGGCTGCTCTTCCAGAAGTCCAGAGTTCAATTCCCAGCACCCACTTGGTGGCCCACAACCATCTATAATGAGATCTGGTGCCCTCTTCTGGCATGCATATAGACAGAACACTTTATGCATAATAAATAAATAAATCTTTAAAATAAATAAATATATCTTTCATAAAGTCAAGAGTAATAGAGAAAGACACACAAGGTTGAGCTCTGGTTTCTCTACCCACGCCCAGGCATATGTGTGTCCACACTTACACATGTACACTTACCAAACACACAAATTTAATGGATGAATAGGGCCAGGAAGTCATTGTACTTGGATTTCACTGTAGCTTAGTAATAGGGAACAACAGAGATGTAGGACAGGAGAGGGCCCATCTCTCTCTATCTTCAGAATATGAAACTTGGATGAGACAGGAGAGCAGTCACATCCTTCCTGCCAGGACAGGATGTTGGTTAGTTGGATTCCTGATCTACAAAATAGGACCGTTTTGATCCTATTTGGGATAGTGATTACTATTGATTTGCGTGGTCATTTCTTTCCACATCTCTTTTTTCTTAGCCTGATTGGTGTAGCTGCTGATCTTGGCTGCTTCTATACTGTTTTAAGAGAAGTTGGTGAAGACTCTCCCTACAAAGCTTTCTGGGCATGAGGTATATGCCTTTAGTCCCAGCAGTCAGGATGAATCTCTGAGAGTTCTAGGTCTACACAGTTAGTTCCAACCCAGCCAAGAGTATACAATAAGACTGTGTCACAAAAGGAAAGGAAAAACAAAACCTGCTTGTGGAGCCCACAAAATGGTTCATTGACTAAGGTGTTTGCCACCAGTCCCATAACTCAGGCTGGCCTTGAACTCATGGCAATCTTCCTGAGTCCTGGTGTTACAAGCATAAGCCACCACACCAAGCTAGAAACATTATTACTCAGTGAATTAACGGATTTACTTTGGTTTATTTGTTTGTTCATCTACTTGTTTGCTTGTTTGTTAGAGACAGATTCTTATTCAGCATCCCTGGTGGCCTTGGAAGTCTCTATATAGGCCTGACTGGCCTGAAACTCACAGAGATAACAACATACCTGCCTCAGGAGTTCTGGGGCTCCATACCTTGCAAATTTATAAAATAGTGTTTGCCTTTAGAAATCACTTTAGAAACTCAGACAGGAGGATTGCAAGTTCTAGCCTAGGCTACGTTCTAAGACCCTATCTCAAAAGCAGGGAAAAACATCACACTTTTGTATAGACTCCGTGGCATGAATCAAAACATATTTTGTATTAAGACAGAAGTTAATGCAAGAGGAAAATGTGAACAATGTATATGAGCAAAAAATTAACTTTTAAATTGTATTTATTTATGTATTATGTGTGTAGGTATATGCATGCCACAGAACTCAATGACGGTTAGACCTCAACTTAGAGAAGTTGACTCTCTCCTTCCACCATATGGACTTGGTGACAAGCACTTTTATCTGTGGAGCCAAGCCGTCTCATCAGTCCAGTATCTTTTTTAAAATCACACATTGGGCATTGTATTTTCATCTAGCACCTCCTCTGAAGTGGTTCCTCTGAGCAAACTTAGTAGGTCCCTAGAGTATATTCTGTATGACAAATTTTTCCTTAATGTATTTGACCTCAGTTGGTCTTTTTCCAAGATCAAAACCCATCGGTAGGGTTGCTCATAATGAACAACCTCCAACTTCTTGCTTGTCTACTCCACCCCGGGCTCAGCAGTCTAATCAGGTTTACAGATCAGTCTCTGTCAAATAAAATTCCAGATGGATAAGAATTATAAATTTTATGTGTGTTGTAGAGTATATTCGTCTCTAGACAAATTTTCTTTGTTTTTTGTAAGTTTTCAAGTGTGCCACCCGTGTGCTTTGTTTCCAGGCCCATACTGTGGGAGTTGGGCTGTTCCCATAGAACTCCGGGTGAACTCAAGTGAAGTGACTGTCCAGTTCCGGAGCGGATCTCACATTTCTGGCCGGGGATTTCTGCTGGCCTATTCCAGCAGTGACCATCCAGGTACAGCAGAAAAACCACCCTGTGTATATAAATCCTATCTGCCTGAAGTGTCTTTCTGCTCCTTATCTCTTCCTCTGGATAGAATTGTGGTATCAGATACAACTGTAAAATGTGAGGACAAGATGGACATGCCTTAATCCCAGCGTTCTTGAGTAAGAGGCAGCCTAGCAGCTGTGATTTCAAGGTTAGTCCAGTCTGCTAGTGAGTTTCAGGCCAGTCAAGGCTAGGAAGTAAAAGCCTGTCTTGGGAGAGTGGGGGAAGTTCCTGAGGACAGAGTGGAAGAGCTCTTTTGTAAGTAGTTGGTCCTATAATGATTCCTTGTAGAGCATATGGTAAGTGGATCCAATGATGCACTTGAGATGGAGTAAATCTTGTGTCCTATAAACTTTGATTGACACATATTTGGGGGAAATTCCCCCAACCCTGCTGTGGTCTGGCTTCTCTGATGTCCTTCCCCAGAGCCTCCTTTCTTGCTCAGTAAACAAATGTTTTAACTAGTGACCCACACACCTGGCACACCAGCTTGGGGACCGAATAGTAGCAGGAGGAGAAGCCACTGTCACGCAACATGCCATGGTTGGGAAAGAAGGGAAGAGAGTATGAGTGCTGATGAAAGAAACTGTTGGCTTCTTCCTCAGCCTCATGTGGTACAGAGTCTTCACCAGGTAGCCCGCACCATCACCAACCAGGGTCACAATGTGCCCAGTGTTCTAGCTGCCACTCCCCTTTGGCACAAATGTGCATGGAAGGGATGTGCCACTCATTTCCTTCAAAGTAGCTTAGATGGGATTGGCCATCATGGCCAGTGTTTCCCATATGTTATTCCTTAAGATTCTTAAAAGATGGGCTCAGAGATTTGATGTGGGATTCCGCTTTGTATACCATTGGTTAATAAAGAAGCTGCTTTCAGCCAATGGCTTAACAGAATATAGTCAGGTCGAAAGAGATTTATAGAGAGTAGGCGGGGTCAGAGAGAAGCCATGTAGCTGCCTGCAGGAGACAGGCTCACTGGAACCTTGCCAGTTAGCCATAGCCATGTGGTGAGATGCAGATACACCACTACATGGTGGCTTGATCATCTATAATCGGATCTGGAGCCCTCTTCTGGTCTGCAAGCATATATGCAGGCAGAACACTATATACATAGTCAATATCAATCAATCAATCAATCAATCATTTTTTTAAAAAATTCTTTTTTTTCTTTAAATATTTATTTATTTATTATGTATACAATATTCTGTCTGTGTGTATGCCTGCAGGCCAGAAGAGTGCACCAGACCCCATTACAGATGGTTGTGAGCCACCATGTGGTTGCTGGGAATTGAACTCAGGACCTTTGGAAGAGCAGGCAATGCTCTTAACCTCTGAGCCATCTCTCCAGCCCCCTAAAAAATTCTTAAAAGATTCCTGGAGAGAAGGAGCTATTGCCAAGAATGTAGGGTATTTGGGGAACTATTTTGCCAACTTAAATAAGTATGTTCCCTGTAAGGAACTTCTGTTTTACATACTTGTTTCCAATTGCTGATCATGATTATTGATCATGAGCCAGCACACACTTTTAATCTCAGTACTCGGGGCTGAGGCAGACAGATTTCTGTGAGTTTGAGGGTAACCAAGCCTACATAGAGAAACCCTGTTTCCTGAAAGAAAAAAGAAAACCAAGTCAGAAGACCGTTCATCAGCATCTCACTGTTCTTGATAAACTTCTATGTCACTGAGCGCCACTGGCCAGAGTGTTGGAATTGAGATGTCCTGAGGAGCCGATCACTCCATTGATATTGTGCCTAGGTTCTAACTCCAGCACCATATGAATCTAGTCATGATAGCATATACCTATAAGCCCAGCACTCAGGAAGGAGAGGCCAGAGGACCAGAACATGTATCTTAAGGTTTCTATTGCTGTGAAGAGATACTGTGACCATGGCAACACTTATAAAGGAATTTAATTGGGCTGACTTATGTTTTTAGAGGTTCAGCCCATTATCGTCATGAGGGGACATGGCAGACATGGTGCTGGAGAGGTAGCTGAGAGTTTCACATCTTGCACAGACAACAGGAAGTGGTCTGAACCACTAGGCATGACTTAAGCATATATAAGCCCCCAAAGCCCGCCTCTACAGTGACATACTTCCTCCAACAAGGCCACACCTTCTAATAGTGCCAGTCTCTTTGGGGACCATCTTCTTTCAAACCACCACAACATGTCAAGGTCATACTCAACTACATAGTGACTTTGAGACCTGGACTACCTCATACTTTGTCTCAAAAGTAAAATAAAATAAAAATCTTCCTGAGGATGTTTTTTTGTGAACTGTAATGGGATTTTTAATGGCTTTTCTCCTGACAAGGATATCGTATGCGTTATACCTGCAGGTGTCCGGTGCTTACTGTTAGAAGTAGATTTTGTTATTGTTCTCAAGACATTAACACTGAAAGTCACCATCGGTGACAGGTCAGGAAAAAGAAACTGATTGAACACTGGAGACTGTAATCTCAGATATTATTTATTTTTAGACAAATTCAAATAACATGATAATGCTTTCAAAGTTTACTTTATCTCTAAAGAAATATTTAGGAACAGGTGGCCTGGTATCTACTCACCTGCTAATTGCACTTCTCTTTATTTGTAATAGATTTAATAACGTGCTTGGAACGAGGCAATCATTATTCGGAGGAAAAATACAGGTAAATATATGTCCTGAATTATTTATGTATAACGATAAGGAGTATTTGAGATATTCCCAAAAGGCAGAGTCTGCAAACCTTTTGTCTAGAACTACACTGTAAATAGAGGTTTTGTAGGTCAAGAGTTTCCATTGCAAGGACTCATGAAATCTCTGTTGTGTTGAAGCAAAAAGGCAAAGGTAGATGATGGAAACAAATGTTAGTGTCATAATAAAGTTTTATTTAGAAGAAAAAGCCCAGGCTAGAGAGATGGCTCAGCAGTTAGGAGTACACAGTGCTCTTGCAGAAGACTGAATTTGGTTTCCAGTACCCACAGCAGGAAGCTCACCTATAACTCTAGCTCCAGGAGATCCAATACTCTCTTCTGACTTCTTTGTGCACCTGTCCTTACATGTGCATTCCCATACAAAAATTCACACATGTACATTTGATTTAAGATTAAAAACCAATGTCTTGGGGGGGAAAAACCAGCAATGTCAGGATATGGTTCGGATTGAGCGTGGTGGTACAAACCTGTATTGTCCTGGTCATTGGGAACATAGGCAGGAGGTTGAGCCTGGGCTGTAGGGCTCTCTCTCTCTCTCTCTCTCTCTCTCTCTCTCTCTCTCTCTCTCTCTCACACACACACACACACACACACACACACACACATATGCAAGCACAAAGAAGTAGAAGCAGGTCAGATTTGGGACTTGGTCCACCATTTTGTTTATCCCTAAGTTCTGCTGTGTTACCAATGAGCCACAGTTGAGTCTGGAATCAGTTTCCTGGCTGGTATGTGGAAATGAATTGTGTAATTTTTATAGGGTTTTTGCCTTCTACCCTACGGAAAAGCCTATAGAGAATAAAGACATGGATTGTTAGCTCAGCTTTAACTACAGATCTACTATCTCTGATCTGATTTCCTCCCCAACCATTTATGAAGTGATATGGTCTAGAGGAAACTCCCAACCATAGACATGCTCTTTCTGCAATTCTTTGTTGTGTAGGGCTGTCCTAGGCATTGTTGAATGCCTAGCTTCTCTGAGGCATTCACTGTCCGGATGCCAATTGTGACAAGCAAGACCGGCTCTAGACAATGCATTATGTCTTCTGAGGGACAAAAGCACCCCCAGCTGAGAATTGCTGTCTAGAAGTTGCTGCCAATAGCAATAACAAAACTGTAATGATAGAGTGCTGTTTTCGTGGCAGTGCAGCTCTCTACCCCATACACACGAGTAGCTCTTGTGATGTTCCATGCCCGCAAGGTTCTGTTCCAGCCTGAAATTGGAAGCTGAAAGCCACTATGTCAACTACCCTGAGTGTACTTGGGGAGTTAGGGTTGAGAGCCCGAATTCTTAGCTATCTCACACGTTTGGACATTGTCAGTGTAGGTGGTTGATGTGCAGAGTCAATTCCAGTGTTAGCTAATATTAAGTCTACCAGAGAAACGTGAGAAACCAAAGTATATAAAATAAATGTTGCCTTGTAGCCAGGCAGTGGTGGTTCACCTTTAATCCCGGCGCTTGGGAAGCAGAGGCAGGTGGATCTCTGTGAGTTCAATGCGGTCTAGGCTACAGGGTGACTTCCAGGACATGCTCCAAAACTGCAGAGAAACCCTGTCTCGGAAAACCAAAACAAACAAGCAAAAATGTTGCCTCCTAAGGTTATCATTCAACTCACTCTCTCTCTCTCTCTCTCTCTCTCTCTCTCTCTCTCTCTCTCTCTCTCTCTCTCTCAGAGGTTAATGGCCTCTAAAGTTTCACCAGCCACACACATTCGGGGTTCTGGGCATCACAGAGAAGAATATATCAAGCCTACAATAACAGATCGGTTCCACTTTAGGCAGCCATTTTCCAGTGCTAGTACAGGCCCACAGCCCTTACCCATAATTCGGGAATACGGAAATCTTTGGAAGTCCTTTGTTACCCATTTGATTGTCAATTCATCTGACAGCAAAATTAGACGAGATTAGCGTGAGGCTGTTTAGTCTTGTGCTTCCCATATGAGCTCTTACACGGCCTTTGATTGGCAAGTGTGGGCTCCGTGGGGGTCTTATATTATGTGCATCACGGGCAGCGTTCCACTTCCCTCAGTCCTGAGTGTTATGAATTCAGAGACTTAGCTGGCACTAAGAGCCCTGTGGCTCTGCAGGAGGTTGTTTTTATTTCTCAGTTCCTTTATTACTGCTGCCGTGCAGGCCACTAGGAAAGAACTATGAAACGTTTATTGGAGTCACTCGCTAATTGTCATTACAACCTGATTTTCTAAGCAGCAAGAAGAAAGTAAAAGGAAAGGAAATAGTAATAATAATACAGCTGCTATTTTGGAATCTGTCACTTTTTAAATGGAGTAAAGAAGCCTCAAACCCTACAGAAAGAATATAAGCAAAGCAACTAAGGAATACTGAGAGCTCCAATTGATTATGCAGTACCAAATGGTCAGCCCTGAAAGTACACTTACAAGCTGCATTGTAGAGGCCAAGCGAGTTGTATTTATATATTAAAATAAATGTTTGTTCATATATGTAACAATGATCAATGAAGAAAGAGGCCATGCATTTGAAAGCGACCAAGGAGGGCCATATAGGAAGCTTGGAGGGAGGAAAGGGAAGGGGAAACTGGTGGAGGGAGGGAGGAAGGAAGACTGCCAAGTAGTATATATAGAAATGGGCGTGCAGCATTCATCTTCAAAGCTGTCAGTGTTTTTATACTTCATTTGTGTGTGTGTATGTGTGTTTTAGAGAGGTAAGTAGCTGCCCTCGATAATGTTGATGCTTCAAGAAACTAGAAATAGAGAGTGGGCTGGGAGATGAGAGAGGTGTTCAGGGTCGACTAACTGAGTAGAGTATGGCTCAAGTTACCTCACCAGACTCCAGCACGGAGACCCTTCCGCCACACTAGCTTCCATGATGCCTACACAGCTCCGTGAATGATGACTGTTACATAAATCAAGCCCTGTTTTATTATTTATTTACCGTGTATGTGTGTGTATACACACACACACACACACACACACACACACACACACACACGGATCAAACCTGCCTTTAAAAATGTGATTCTGTTGTCTCAGTTTTTGGATTAGTTGGGATTACAGACTTGGATGATGAGGCCTGAATGAGCCCTAATTTTAAAATATGCCTTTTTAATTGTAAAGGTAATTTATTATTAGCACAGATTGGTATTATCTGTTACAGTATCCCTGAAGACAGTGTACTTGAGCTATGTCAAGTTCAAGGTGAAGTACACTGCAGGTGTAAAATACACCCCCAGTACTAAGGAAAAACAAAGTTAAATTATCTCCTTGATTCTTGCTGTTTTTCCATTATATATGGAAATTAACAGAATTTAGGTATATTGTGTTAAATATATATAATTAATTTTCCCTGTTTCTTTTTACTTTTATAATACGGCTACTAGAATATTTAAATCTTTATAGCAAACAAGAAACTATTGTGTAAAACTGGTCTCCAGGTTAAGATTTTATATCAGTTTGTGTTTTTGTTAATTGGGCTTCTTGTCTGTCTTTAAAGCAAGATGATTGTTGCCTGTGTTATTAATGAGGAAAATTACTTTAAATTGAAGTTTAGTTTAATGCCTTTCTTTGGTTTCAATGTAATTTGATAAAATATGAATTCTATTTTCCAGCAAATTCTGCCCAGCTGGTTGTAGAGACGTAGCAGGAGACATTTCGGGGAATATGAAAGACGGCTACAGAGATGTAAGTGATTAATGGTGTCACCAAAGGCGTAAAGTGTTGCTTGCTGTGCCTGAGTTGATTGAAAAATCAAGCAAAATGGGAAACAGAAATCTACACAGATGTGCATTTTATGTTTTTGTGAGATGTTGAAATGTATTAATTTTGAAACTAAAGTAGTCTATGCATTCATTCTTATTTCCTGTTAAGAGTAATAAAAGTGAAATGAAGAACAAAAATATATTTAGCACCTAAGAAGTATTATTTCATTGTACTGGTCAGTTTTCTGTTACTATAGTTAATACCTGAGATAAATATTTCTGGCAGTTTCAATCCTGCCTGTTTGCAGTATGTCATAGAGGAAGCCTGAAATGAAACAATGTATCATAGGAAAGTCTGAGATGCAGAGTGTGTGTCAATGGGGAACATGTGGCAGATAGAGCAAGCTGCTCACCCGAGGACAACTGGCAAGTAGAGAAAGGCAAAAGAGGAAATCCACAGACCCTTTCTGGTTTTTTTGTTTGTTTGTTTGTTGTTGTTTTTTCGAGACAGGGTTTCTCTGTGGTTTTTGGAGCCTGTCCTGGAACTAGCTCTTATAGACCAGGCTGGTCTCGAACTCACAGAGATCCCCCTGCCTCTGCCTCCCAAGTGCTGGGATTAAAGGCGTGCGCCACGACCGCCTGGCTTCCACAGACCCTTTCAATGGCACTGTCTTGGTGGCCTAATTTCTTCTCTTAAGACCAGCCTCCTAAAGGTTCTGCCATGTGCTAATATGCCACAGGCTGGGCATTTGCTTTTAATGCATGAGCTTTGAGATGTAAACACTTGTCCAGTTTCTGCAAAAGCCCATAGATTCATATACTTAAATATTCATATTCTCTCTCCCCTCTCTTGTACTGAGGGCTCATAGTCGTGTGTGTGTGTGTGTGTGTGTGTGTGTGTGTGTGTGTGTGTGAGAGAGAGAGAGAGAGAGAGATGTTCATATGTAGTTGTTCATGCCATGGCATACATGAGGTCTAAGAACAACTCCTAGGCTCCATTTCTCCTTCAGCTTTATGTGGGACTGTCAGGCCTGCATCATCAGATGGCAGGCACTGTTGACCCTGAGTCGTCCTGCTGGCCCCAGCTCTGTAACTCCAGGTGACTTCTGTGCTAGAGTTAGTGACGTGACTGGTCACATCACAGAGTAAAACACCATCTGCCCTGCTCTGATTCACTATAGCTGCCCACCCCCTCCATTCTTATGCCTAAGGGGACTCTCTGGATTTTATATATATTGTTCCCAGACAAAAGTAAATCTCAGAAGCTTATTTTTCTAATCTGCCCTCTCTCCTAATACATAATTCATTGTTTATATCTGTTTACCTTTCCATCCTGCAGACCTTTGTCCCCCCCCCCCCCCCCCCGCCCCCTTTGCTCTCTCAGCTGATATCACTCTTTAAAATGATTGGATTTACCCTTCACTGTTGAAAGGTGAAACGTCTGTCAGGAAAAGCAATTACTGGCGTGTCCTGGTGCATGGAGAAGTGTCTTTTGACCACACTATAGAGATTGAAATGGCACTTGGCAAGAGAGAAAACATGACTTTAATTTTGTTGCAGGTTGGTTTTTTTGTTGTTGTGTTGTTTTCTCTTAGCACATCTTGATTGCCTTTTGTTTCCTCCTTCTTGTATTGCTTTTGTTTATAAATTGGGCACAGGATATCTGACTTACTGGAATTTTTTCTTTCTTTTTCCCCCTTCTCATTCCCACATGTGGAACACCTAAGTTTTGACTCTTCCAATGGTCTATACCTCTTTGTTTTGAATATTTACTGAGTGAAGCTATTCCTAAATGATTCCAGGAAATTAAGTAGGGGAAGTCAAATGTTGAAGTAGAGTTTCTTCCCTTTCCGTGGAAAGGTTTTATATTGTTTCTTGTTTTGGTGTGTGTGTGTGTGTGTGTGTGTGTGTGTGTGTGTTTGGGGTGGGAAAACAGGGACTGGGGGGCCAGTCATCCTGTGTGTTACATCTGAATACTTACCTGCAGGTGCTAGCATTCAGGGTTCGTCTTACCAACTGGCACCATTTGCTTTTGTTTTGTTTTTCAAGACACAGTTTCCCTGTGTAGCCTTGGCTGTCCGTGGAACTCAGTCTATAGACTAGATTGACCTCAGACTCAAAGATCCGTCTGCCTCACCTCCTGAATGCTGTGACTGAAGATGTGTGCCACCACGCCTGGCTCATCTCTTTCGAGGAGTCTGCCTAGTGTCTTTTGTGAATCTGTTAGAGTCTTCATAGCTGCACAGCAGTATGCATACACCAAGGCTGAAGCGACATCTGTTGTCTCCAGTTGTCTTTTCTTTTCTTTTCTTTTTTTAAATTGCAAGATCACATTTCCTTTTCCTTTTTTCTGTCTTTCTTCGTCTTTGTTTGTTTGTTGTTGTTTTGTTTTTCAAAACAGAGTTTCTCTATAACTTTGGAGCATGTCCTGGAACTCATTCTGTAGACTAGGCTGGCCTCGAATTCATAGTAATCCACCTGTCTCTGCAAGTGCGGAGATTAAAGGTGTGCCCCACCACCGCCCGGCCAGTTGTCTTTTCTTACTTATGCTCTTATTTGTTTAGAGACCAGGTCTCACATGTAGCCCTGGCAGGCCTGGAACTCTCTATAGACCAGCCTGGCCTCAAACTCAGAGGCCTGCCTGCTTTCTGCACCCCAAGTGCTGGGGTCAGGGACATGCACCACCACACCTGCCTTTTTGTTTTTTTTTTTTTTCCGAGACAGGATTTCTCTGTAGCTTTGGAGCCTGTCCTGGAACTAGCTCTTGTAGACCAGGTTGGTCTCGAACTCACAGAGATCCACCTGCCTCTGCCTCCCGAGTGCTGGGATTAAAGGCGTACGCTACCACCGCCCGGCACCTTTTTGTTTTTTTAAGGTACACATATTGTGTGTGTGTGTGTGTGTGTGTGTGTGTGTGTGTGTGTGTGTGTCTGTGTCTGTGTCCTGTGTGTGCAGGTGAGCATTTGTTATGTAGCAGTCAGAGAACAATTTCAGGACTTCATTCTTTCTCTCCAGGATGGACTCCAGGGATCAAACTCAGGTGGTCAGATTTACCTCAGACACTTTTATGAGCCATCTTGCTGGCCCTGTCTCTCCCATTTTCTGTGGATGAGGAGTCTGAGCGGGGTTTGACTGGGTCTCCACTGCAGGATCTCCTAAGACTGTAGCTGAAATGTGAGCTGGAGCTGCAGCCCCTCAGTGACAGGTGGGCTTCTCAGCTTGCAGTGTTGGGCGCACTCAGGTACTTGAGTGTCACTGGACCAAAGGCCCACTGCTTTCTTGGATTTTGCCCGTTGTTGCTGTCATTCTTGCCGTGTGCTTCCTAACATGGCTGCACACCTCCTAGAAGCCAGCAAGGGAGAATGACTAGCAAAAGTATCTCCTACTAACATGGGACACAGTGAAAAGGGGTGACATCCCCACCTCTTTGCCACGTTCTCTGAGTTACTAATAGGTTACTCATAGCTTCCGCACATGTTCGGCGTTTTGCAAGGGGGATTACCAGGAGGCAGATCCTGGGAGTTATTTTAGCATCTGCTCCATGGCAGCTTCCTCTTAAGAAATACATTCCGCGTAATGAGTCTTTTTTGAGAGAGTCTTTGCAAATCCAAAGCATCCTGTACATCAGAAAAACAGAATCTGGAAAACTAATTACTTGAGGAGCCATTGAAGCAGCAAGCATTCTGACTTGAGCGAGAATGTGTCCTTGGGTTGGTCTGTCTATATCTGTCTGCTTGCCTGACTTTGACAGGGTTTCAAGTTGAACTCTATATCCAATCCTTGGCTGGGCTTGAGCTCCTGGTCTTCCTGTTTCCATCTCCCAAATGCTGGGATTATACAACATTGAGAATATGTGGTCTTGAAGAGATAGTTACAGAAAAGGTATCGATTCATTCTGTGGGCCCAAAAGGCAACAAACAGTAGGATCAATGGATAAACGTCATAGAGATGCCAACTTCAGCTGCATAAAAGGAATAATTAAATAGCATAGACTGCAGTAGGGTGTTGGAGAAATATGTAGATGTTACAGGCATTTTGTTGGTGACAGTATGTATGAGTGAAGGTGCCCGTGGGTGGGGAAAGAAGGGATCTTCCGAGGCTGCACATGAAAAACTTTTAAGGGTCTTTTTCAGTCCTTAAGATTCTGGACTCTGTCTCATTGTCTGACCGTCTACACCATGTCTGGTTTTAGAGTCTATAGAGCAGTGTGGCCTTTGGGTTTCTCCTTAAGATGTGACCACAGGGCAGCTTTCCTTTGCCACCTTTCCAGCTTGCTAATAGTGGGATACATCTGCTTTTCAATAGGATACATCAGTTAACTAATTTATTAATTTTGTTGTGGGGGTACTGTGTACCATCAAAGGAGTGGGGGTCTGAGGACAACTTGTGGAAGTTGATTTTGTGTTCACTGTGTGAATTTCAGAAATTGAACTTGTCTTGGTCACTGTTCTATTGCTGTGAAGAAACACTTTGACCAAGGCAACCCTTATAAAAGAAAGCATTTAATTGGGGCTTGCTTATAATTTCATAGGTTTAGTCCTTTATTGTTGTGGGGAACATGTTGCCACACACAGTGCTGGAGCAGAAGCTGAGAGCTACTTCTTGATCCATAGGCTGAGAAAGAAAGGTGCTGGGTTTAGCATGGGCTTTTGAGACCTAAAAACCACCCAAGTAACACACTTCCTCCAACAAGGCCATACCTCTTAATCCTTATAATCCTTTCAGATAGTGCTACTCCCTGGTGACTAAACATTCAAATGACCCTATGGGGGGCGCTCTTATTCTAACCGCCGCTGATTTTAAGTATCTAATGTGGCAGTTCATTGGGCACTTTTACTTGTGAGGCTATCTTGCCGGCCTTCACTAATTCATTTTACAAATTCATTGGTCTCAAAAAATGTTCAAGAAACTGCCAACAAGGACAATAAAAGTAGACTTACCAAAGTGGACAGGGGAAAGTCAATGAAACCTCAGCCCTACTCA